CCCCCCCCGCCCCTTCGCCCCCCCATGCCTCCTCTCTCCTGTATAAATGTCTCACAGAGAGGAGGATGGGGTAGGTGAAAACAGAATTTCCCCGCAGGGATTAAAAAATGCGACTATTCTAAATCGCTGCCGATTTAGGTAACCTTTTCTATTTTGGCTTTAAATTTTATTTTTAAGATTTCAGAAGAAATTGCCAAATCACCTCTGATAATCAATATGTCTGATTTCAAAATATTCAGATCTGTACGAGTCCAATAACAAAAGAGGGCCACACACTCCCATTCAGTACTGGTGCCACTTAGTACACAAAGTGTTGCAATTTTACCTTGCTGTTTGTGTAGGTATATCTGTGTATATCCATGTGACTGTGTGGGGGAAATGGGCATCGTGGACTTAGGGTACAAGAAAGCTAACATTTACCTCTGCTTTGACATGTCGCTCTCAGCCTGACTGCTCACTGTCCGTTCTTGGAAATGCTGCTAAACCAAGCGGTGTCCCGTGTCAATCTGCCAGACTGGTTCACGGGGACTGAGAGACGGGGTTCGCGAGGAATTACAAGCTCTGAGGACCGCGCAGAAGTGCCAAAATATCGACACGACCGGTCAAGCTGCCGCTTCAGCTGCCCCTTGTGCAGTCACCCGGTGATTTCCATGCTACATTTATCTCCGTACTGTGTGACTGATTATTTTCTGCACTTATGACGGAAATCCAGTATGTCAGTCTTAGCCTCTGTAAATGTGTAGAAGGGGTGCATTACATTTCACTCGTGAGAATGAGAGCCACAGTGATAAGTTAAGATCACATTAGCATGAAGCACGTCATTTGACTTCATGTGACAGTGTGGTTTCTGTCCTTGGAAATCTGTTAGTTGGTGAAGGTTGACAGTTTTATTTCACCCCCCACACACACACACACAAAACACAAAATTTCTTTATACAGTGTGTAGCTCTGAGCTGCATATTTTGTTATGCTAATCTGAATTTTTAATGTCAGACAGAGTTATTACTTTCTCCTTCCATCGCCTAATTGTACCTTCCTCTTTGCATGCTGCTGCACGAAAAACACGACTCTTTATATCAACCGTATCAACTAGTGGGACCAAAAGTTGACCTGAGCGCTTTTATTTTGCATGGTGATTTGACAGAAAGTATTTTTGACAAAGAAAGGCAACTCCTGGATAGAAGAACTTTTCAAGGACTCCTGGGAAAGTTATGAAGCTTTCGAATTTTGTTTGCTTTCATTTAAAATGGTAGAAATTGTCTTGTTATATAATCTGTGGAGATTTTCTTCTTATTTATATTACCTTATAGTAAGGTATATCGTGCACCCTGTTAACTTTGAATTTTGCAATGGAATCTATTATTGTCACTCTAATTTATTTTGTGCATGGGTGAGTTATTTACCCAACTGTCAACTCTTTGGCTCTTTGGTTTGTTGTAATGCAAATGCAAATGTTATTAACACATAAAGCATTTGAATAACAATTAACAATTGGATTCATTTACCCTTTGCACTGTGATAAGAAAAGAAAAATAACACAGTAAATATATTGTGTTTTTGACAATCAGTTTCTGTGTGATTCGTCTCCATTGAAGTGACATAGATGGTATCAATATATACTATTTCACAATGACTTGGAAATTAGTATAAATGTCTTTGGAATGCTGGCTGCGTTTGTTTATAATAAAGCCAGTTCATTACAAACTGGCAATGGCCTGAAGAAGCCCATGAGTCAGTAGTGTAAAGTGTCCCGTGTAACATACACCATAACCTATAGCAGGAATTTTTGTCCATCATTCCTCAGTCCCTCTTTGTCCAATTAGGACTGCTTTCATCATGGAGCATTCTGGGAAATATAATGCCATTCCACAGCAGGGCAGTCTTTCAGCCATAGGTTCCCTTAAAGGGTAATTTTGAGTCATCACTTTTCTTCTCACTTCTGTATTTTGACTTTCGAAGAAAACCAGAGTACTTGGAGAAATCCCACACCAGCCTGATGCTCCCCCCCCCCCCCAAACCCACACCCACAACATCCCCACAGCAGACTTTAATACAAAAATCAATCAAGGAACATAAGCATCTATTCAATTTTCCATAGTCAATGTGTCACACTGGGAGGCAGCCACAAGGACCAATGTGTATGCAGATTACTTCTCCCAGTGCTGTACTTAATTAGTCATATCGCATAATCAGTTCGATATTCAATGGCATTCATTCAAATGATTAGCAACCTCTGCTGGTTCCAGCCCTCTGCCCCGTGATTGAATAATGGAAGAGCTGAAATATGTAGCTTCCTGAGATCAACACTGTTTAAGCGGAAACAATGGTGACATCAGACAATCAGACATCACTCATCCTTCATCAGTCCTCACAGAGAATTACATGCAGGGCTTTTAATAACTCAGTTGTTGAATGTGTACTATACATACACACACACACACACACACGTTGGGTATACCTATCCTTATGGGGCCCGCTCATTCACTTCTATGGGACAAATGCTAACGCTAACTTTGACATTCTTAACCCCCACCCAGCCCTAACCATAGCCATATCCATAAGTAACCAAGCAAAATACAAGAGTTTTTGCAGTTTTAGTTTTTTCATAGCAGTCACCGATTTTTATAAAATAGAGTTTACCCTTATGGGGACCAGGAAACCCGACCCCATACGGAAAAAAAACTGATATTTATCACGTTATGGGGACATTGTGTTTTGCTGTGTGTCCCCATAAGCAGGGGCGGATTAACGCACAGGCTAGATATGGCTTAAGCCTAGGGGCCCCACGTGTGCCAGCCTGCAAGGGGGCCCCCATTGGCGCAGAGGGGGGTGGGGTTGGGGGGCCCACAGACTACTGTAGCCTAGGGGCCTCTGTACACCTTAATCCGCCCCTGCCCATAAGGATAGGTATACCCGCTCGCACATGCACACATACACACACACATATGCACACTAACTATCTATAGTAGTATATACGTATAGTAGTATGTATATATATACTGCTATATATGTAAATATGTAGAGTTACACTAAGAATACATGTAGTCTACATATACATCCTACTATATATATTAAGTATTTATATTGTAATATATATTGCGCTATACATATACTAAGTATATTTGTGGGAACATTAATTATAGGTCATATATATAGACACGCAGTCCACTTTGTAGGCTGTGTAACTTTAGCAGCACGCAGAGAGGCCCCGCGCCTCTTCCGACGCGCTTTCGCCAACGCCGTCCGCTCCCTGCTCGCTTGCCGTAGAGTCACAGACGCTCTAACCCGTGACCCCAGGAATGAAAACCGACTCTTCCACTTCCTGGAAGCTGTTTCGCTCTGTTTTTATATAGCCGACTAGTATGAGGTACTAAGGCGGAAAAATAAGGGTTGGCCGTGGAAAGAATTTGAAAAGCCCCGACAACATGAGCTGGTGAGTACCGTAAAGCTGTGATGCCGGTTTCCATCGGTTCCGATCGCGCCGGCACCGGCCGGACACCGTCGAAACTGACATGGCTTTCGGTCCGGGACATTACTTTGTGAGTTTCATGCACGTACTTGTTTGTTGAATCCGCAGTCAGAATAACCTGAACATTGGGGATATCTGAAAGTACCCGGATGATCTGTCTCTATTAATATGCTAATGTTTGCTTGGAAAAGAACTCTGGCGAGTTTCGAAAAAGCCAGTGGTCTGGTCTATCTACGAGTCCATTATAATTATTGTTACCTGAAAAACATTGTTTCTCGCTGTCTTTTCTTAATCGTCATCTTAGGATCACACACCAAAAAAACCTCAAAAGAAACAAAAATAACGAAACGCCCCTTTAAAGCCCCGTTGGGTAATGTGTTTGCGTATGGAGAATGATCAGGAAGATGTGAGAATTTCGTAATGATGCCGAAGAGACTGTCTGAACATTTCAGCAGCAGGTAAAGGTGGTGATGCGGTGATGGTGGCAGCGGGGGTCCAGAAGCGGATCGCAGTGTCACGGAAACGCCGCGACACCAAGGATGCAATGATGCCAGGTGTATTTATAGATGCCCACGTCTCTAAAAAGACACAGCGTCTCATTTCATGTAATCCATCACAGCATAAATCAAAAAAGAAAAGGCTTTTGGGTGTTTAGTAAAAAAGAGGAGGGTAGATTTATTATAGTGCGAATATGGAAATCCCGCCTCCACCTTGTGTCTATACGGTGGATTTTAAACTTTTATAACACTTTGGCAAATATTTCACTAATACCCTCTCAAGTTGTACCAAGTGTACCAAAATGTTTTTTAAAGTTTTCAAGGAAATGTTATTTTTAATAGAAAATTGATCATTTACAGTAAGGGACCAGACACTGGTAACTTTCCGACATCTTGATAATACAGGTTTTGGTTTTACTCGGAAGCCATTTTCCACGTATCAGTGAACACATTTAACATCCTGGCTTATCAAACAAGCAAGACAAAAAAATCTAACTTCGAAACAGTCGGTTTTTCCATTCCTGGCAGTATTTCAGCTGATCATTTTCTCAGCCCTGGTTTTGTCCAGTTACAACGTATCCCTCCTTTTCCTGTCCCCTGGCAAGGCCCAGCTCTGCAGTCAAAGTAATTAAGAGCCATAGTGTTCTGACTGTTCCGTGCAGCTCTTGGAGAATGGAGCTGCTGACCATCTTAGAAGAAATACTGACTGTTTGCTCTTAGTAATACGCACCTTTCACCCTTTCCTGTAGGTAATGTTTGCCTTTTGACCTCAAATAAAATGTCATTTTAATCATGTTCTACAAATGCAGATCATGTGCTATATGCAAATATTGTCATTGAAGCTGAAAACTTTCCACATAAATAATCCCACTATGTTGAAACATATAAATATACATTTGCATTTTTAAAATACTTTGCCCCCATGTTTTTAATGAATTCTAGGCTGACTTGTTTAGCCAGTTTCTTTAAAAGTTAAACACCGTCATAGGGTCCAGACTTCATGAGAACTTCATTATGACTACAGCCATGCTTTCTGAAGCATAATCACCCTCCTTTAAGGCCTCTGTGTGTTTTCCCGCCTTCTCCGGCTGTGTTTATACCTCTAATATAACCTCAATAATTATGTAAATCTCACGATTCTTCCCCTGTTATGGTTGTGAGGTGGAGATGCACTGCATAGCATGATTGTGGTGGAGGAGGATAGTAGGGTTCAACAGAAACCAAATAACCAAATAACTATTAATGTAACTCGAACGAAATGTAGTTATGGCCCCTCTGAGCCCCAACAGACAGCCCTTAAAACACTAACTGAGAGAATCTCCTTATAAACAAACAAACACAGCAAATAAAGGCCGCAGTTCATCCCACAAACTGTCCATTTACCCCAGTCCACCCAGCTGACCCAGTTTAAATTCTAACACAGTGATCAGGTTGACTGGAGTCAGTTGGGTTTCATCACCTGGCGTATTTTTGGAGGGAGGGCCTGCTGGCCACCGCTGTCTCTGCTGTCCGGTCTGCTTGTGGCACATGATGGATATATACAGGCGCACAGATTAGGAAAAAGGGATCCTTTAATACACACTTGATGTTCCACATTGCCTCTTAGCTGGGAGTGTATTGATGTTCGTTTAACGGGGCTGTATCAGCAACTGGCTATTTTCCATCCTTCCTTTCTCAATAATCGCTTATCTAATTTGGTTTCCAGTGACTAGGGCTTGTCCCAGGAAGTGCAGTGCTTTCTGTGGGGTGTATCCTGGATGGAATGCCGGTCTGTTAGGCTCGCTCTCTCACTCTCTCTCTCACACAGTCACACTCACACACACAAACACACACACACACACACACACTGTTGCACAGTAAGGGTAGCCAGAAGTCCCCAGTTGACCTTAGCCGCTCAAAAGCAAAAAAAAATAAAAAATGCCAGCCGAAATTTCAAGCAGACACACGTGTCGACTGGTGGGCGAAATGAAACCAAAACGAGAGGCTGCCAAGTGTCACAGGTGGTGTGCGTGTGTGTTTTTGTGTAGGTGGGTGAAATTATGGTTCAGGTGAACTTGCGCTCTCCGTGTTGACTGTTATGCTGAGAAGCGTTAGGCTCCTTGCTCTGTATTTTGAAGGCACCTTGTAATCGAATTTTTGGCTTGATTCTCTTAAGTTTAACATGATTAAGGCACTTTGGCAAGGAGTTAAGGTTACTCTGTTTTTTCCCCCCCAAATAAGTAATACATTTGTGATTATAATTGTGCATATTGTTGCCGTCATCATTTCAGAAAGACCCCGGGGGGATCCTTCCTGGCTGGATGTGAGATTACAGCTCTCTGCCCGCTTCCTAATCTGTGGCATTTTTTTTTTCGGTCGATCGCACAAGGGAAGTGATTCATCGTGACATTCCCATGCGGCATGCTGGACAAAGGAAGTCGAGTCGGGGAGTCACGGTGGCGAGGGGAGCTTTCCTCACGCTGTCGTCAGTGCACGCGTGTGAATCCCTGTCTGATTTGCATCACGTTCAGGGAAAAGAATTGGGGGGGGGGCACCATGACAGAGAGGCACAGAGACGACAATACTGTCACACGGGGACAATGGCAGGCTTCACTTCCGCCGCTGTGTGAGACCAACCCTGGGGTCAAAGGTGAAGAGCCCATCCTGTCAAAGGGCCCTTTATGGGCTACTCTGACTGGGCAGTTAAAGCCTGGCATTTACGCGTGGCCCGTGACGCGGGCACAAGGGCCTGGGGTCAGCGCTGAGAACAATCGCAGCCCCAGTGTCTGGAAGGGCATGAGCGGGATCTTCCTGTCCGGCCCATCGCGATAAAGAGCTCCGTGCCGATCACAGATCTGCTGGGACGCCCAGCGGTTTCGTACTCCGCCCGGCCCTTGCCGTCATTTGCCTGTCTCCGTCACTCTGCTGCTTCAGCACCCTTTGGGGGGGGGGGGTAATGAGTGCATCATTGTTTGGACCCGTGTGCGTTTGGGTTAAACGCTGCACCAGCTAACAGACGGCTGCTTTGTCCACTTTCCGGGAGCGATATGGGAGCCGTGTTGGTTTCTCTTAACACAAGGGTCATTTTTGGAGATCTCTACAGCAGCGTTTTGTTTTTGTCATCTTTTAGTTTGCTGGTGGCCCCCCCCCTTCCACTTTAACAATCTGGTCCATGGAGCATCAAGAGACTGATGAAATTTTTGCTGTTTTTTTCTTCCCCCTCTGGAATGAATACAGTTCCGATGACGACGTCACGCATTTGTCAGTCCGGTTTTTTTTTTTTTTTTTTTGTCTGTCGGGTAGAACTGGATACGTCATAAGCAGAAGTGTGTTAAAGGGCTGCTCTGTGCCTTAGCCCTTTGTACTGGTGATTAGAAGGTTGCAGGTTCAAATCCCATGGTCTGGCAAAGTGGTTTCACCCTTTGACCCTCGAGCAAGACCCCTAACCTCGGTTGCTCCAGGGACTGGTTAACCATGCTTCTCAATTGGGCATGTGATGTGAAGCCATGTTCTTATTAAGATGGCTTCTTTATTAACTTTGCATTGTTTAATGATTCCCAGTTTCTCAAAACAATTTTTTTTTTATCAGTGATGTCCCAAGTCGACGTCAAGGATGGGAATGCAGGTATTTTTTCATCGATCGGTGTCGGCTACCACGACCCAATCCAAAGCCCGATCTACTTAATTTCCCGCATCCACCAAACTGACATCAGTTGCGGAGAATGTAAAGTTCCATCATACGCTGCAGTGAGCCTGAGGCACATGGGCTTGAAACTATAGTACAAACTATTGAGAGGTCAGCTGTGTGGAAATTCGTGAAACTGAAAACTCAAAGTAGCCCGACAACTATCTGTAATGTTTGCAGTGCCGTTCTTTCGAGAGAAGGCAGCAACAGAGCATCCTCTAATACAAGAAATCTAATTAGGCACTCGTAGAAACATCATAACGAAGAATACTACTCACTATTCAGGCAAAAATACGTGTATGTATATGTGTATACAATAATATATATAACTTTAAATGTTTATTAAAAGATGAGATGACTCAGAATCGGCTGAATGTATCAGAACGTGGTGCCAAAAAATGAATCGTAACATGGAACTAAATGTATACAAGAAAATCACTGACCGTAGCTCAAAAAAATTGACATATTACTATTAGAAGGAGTGTAATTGCACTTAGTTTTTTGTTTGCAGTAGGTAACATGTTTAAGTGGCATGGAGGACTCTGGGTCGAACCTCTCGGGTTTGCCTTAGGATTTTAGGTTTTCTGTTTTAACTCTGCAGTAAACATCCTACCGTAGATGCTACATACACCTATGATTACCTGATTAAAAGGAGAATGTAATTGCGTCTCACATCCTGTTTACCTGCACTGGGGTGACCTTGGATGTGCTTTTTTAGAAACTCGCTCCATACCCTTGTCTCCTGTACTTGGGCATTTCCAGGATAATATGGCATAATTATACCTACCCTAAATAATTTAAAAGCTTAATTGTTGTGAGGAAAATTGGAAATGGGGAAATCTCTCAGAAATAGGTTATTGCATCATTAAGGTGGATGTTTCCTCTGATTATAGAACATTTCCAAAATACCTCATTTAAAATAAGCTTTAGCGTTCGCCAGATCTGCAAAACATCTGATCTGTTTTTCTTTCCAGTGTTAGTTTTCCCTCCCTGAAACACGGACATGCATTATTGATGCACGTAGACCTACACAAACACATTCACTTTTATTTAAGGTGAGAATGTTCCTGTGCGTGTGTGTACGCAAATATGTGTTCCATCAGTATCACACCTGTACGTAATAATATTACGGTGCTTATGTACAGGGGATGGATGAAATAACAGGGAAGTGGTCCATGAGAAAGGGTTCAAAATTCAAAGCATGTACCCAAGGCCGCACGAGCTGCCTGGGGCGGTAGTCGTTCATGCAGCATTTTATGGTGTAGTTAGGGGCCCCACCAATAACTTTAACCCAGAGGGCCCCAGCGGACCCCACACGCTCTATTCCGGCCCTGCATGTGCTGGATATGAACAAATGGCATCAGCCGAGAGGGGGAGTGAGATGCTCATGGACAAGGATAGACGGACATTGAACTGCACGGTTATGGAGCACAATACAACCACAGAAATGACTGAACCAGTGAACACAACCAGTCTCAGCAAATACTGCTGTGGGCTTATGTCAGGGCCAGTATCAGTCAACCCATTAGGCAACATTAGCGGACGCCTGCGGCGCCATTTTTTGAGGGGGGAAGTTTTGACTTAGGGAGTCAGTTTCACTTTGTCTCAGACAGGGGGCGCTAGTGGCAAAACTTGCCTGGGGAGCTGCATGAGCTGGACAGGGACCATATTCATGGCCAAAGAGCAAAGGCATGTAACCTGGTGTCAGGAACCCAAAGTCCAGACCCCTGATGAGTAGTAAAATAGTAAAATCTGGTCTAATGGGTCGTCTTTGACCCTTTTCCCTACACCCAGATGGGTTTAAGTTTAGAGATACCTGATGGGTGCTTTCAGCCCACAGTGTGTGTTACCAGATGTCAAACATGGTGGGGCTTCAGTAATGGTATGGGCAGCCATCTTGTGGAAGGCATTAGGTCAGATCATTGTTCTTCATGGTCATGCAACAGAATATAAAGCCGGTTTACTGGGCCGGGCGTACCCTTCAGTGTAATCACCGTTCTGTCAGGATGTTCCTGTACTTTGAGATGATAATCCCCCCCCCAATACACTGTAAAACAAAGAGCAGTTTCATGAACACCAGGGTGATGTCAAACACCTTTCATGACCTCCCTGAACCTTTATGAGAACTTCTGGAGTGTAGAGTGTGAAGCCGATTTCCATCCTCTCCATCCCTTGTAGAATTTGTCTAATATCCCCCTGCATACAGTTCAGAACTTGTATGACACCTTGGAAACGGCACCCTTACTCCTCATTGTGTCCCTATTGAAAGAATTCCCTTTAATTTGACTGCACCCTGTATGCATTTGTGTGTATTTATAGGTAGAATGTCACATATACAATATAAATTCATACACAATGGGCCTTAATGTATTTGTGGTTGTACTCGTGTCACACTCCCCCCCTTTGATCGTGCACATCTACACAGCACGCAGACTAATGTGGAGAGTAATGACCTGTAGCTGTCACCTTTCTGTTACCCTCCCGGGACCCGAAGCAGCGTCGGAACCCATTTCATGGCTTAAAGTTTAAGATTCAAAGACACGTCAGAGCCGAAGTTGCGCTCGAGCGGGCATGCGTCCCCGTGCGATCCGTGGGCGCCAATCCTCGTCGTCTTTCTGTAGGAAAAATAAACAGCAACAACATCTCTTTGACGTGAGACTGAGTCGTTTGCATATGGATGCTGTCTAGTCGACAGCTTTGGGAAAACAGACAAGCGCACGTGTGTGTAACGTGCACAGAGGGGGCGCTGTATCGGGGCCCAGTCGCACGCACAGGCGAGTGTGCGAGTGAGCGAGCGACCGCTGCTAAGATGCACCTCCCGCGTGCCGTCCACGAGTCGCCACGGCGTGACTCACCGTCTGCCCTTGAGGAATTCGAGTGGGTGAAGGAGTAGTTTTCCATGATGGCGCTCGCTTATGAAAAGTGTGACATGGGCGAATGTACTTTTCCTCAGGAAGCTGGCTTGCCGGACCCCCCCCCCCCCCCATTCCCCACACCTTAATATAATTC